CAGTGCCGTGCGCGTGAATGTCTGGAGCTGATGCTGACTACACGTCGAAGATGGCAGAAGGCAACAAGACTTTCCCGAAGTGTCTAGCAGGCGAGGCTGGGTCGGCGTTTGAAGAGGGCAGAGTGGGATGGCGGGCCGGTGCAAATTACAATTACCGTGGGGATGCGTCAGGCAGATGGGGGCGTCGACGTCCGTTGTTGGTTTCTGTCGCAGAAAGTGAGCCAAGCGGCTCCTCCGGCCCCGAAATCACGTGTTGCCGGCATATCGGCAGCCGCTGCACACCACGCTGCACCGCAAGGCTCAACCTTGAACAGCCAGCAAGAAGGTGCAGCATGATGCACAGGCGTCACCGGTGATGAGTTTTCTCACATCGCGTCAGCCCTCACAGTCCATCCAGGTAGCCTTGGAAACATTGCAAGACTTCTCCGGCGACCTGTCCTAGCGTATCCGGTGATCCCTGCACGCTGCCCCTCCATCCGTACTGCGTAATGCTGTGTTAAGGCTGAGACGGAGGGGCTTCACAAGCAGCCGCATTTGACCGCGACGCCGTTGGGACTGTTGCTTGCGTCGCTAGTCTGCTAGGATGAAATTGATGTCAATAGTGAATGTACACCGAGTCGTGATAGCCATAGCATCTGCAACCACTGCAACCATGCGCAACCCACCCGTGTCTAGCCCGCTCATTAGACGGCGGCTTTCTAATCATGCGCTGTGATGTTCAGCAATCATGTCGGCAGCGGTGCAAACGTTTTACAGGACGGAATTGGCAACAGTGGCTTGTATGACATACCTTACCGCCGCGGCCGAAGCTATTCTCCGTCAACAGCGTGATGCTGGGATATGGTGGTGGGACGTGCCATTGATGCAATAGTAGTGTGCCCCGCTTGTTCCAAAGACTTTCCGCGTACATATCTTGACGACCCCCACCAGACTTCTTCTTCCTTCTCTTGACCATCTCCCGCTTTATAAGCCTCAATTGCCTCGTATTGCACGCCCGGTCGCTGCAATTCTACCCCGCCAACACTTTCTCATCCACCCACCTACACCCACACGAGAACGCAATCATGTCTTCTGAGCCCGTCGGAGATTTCGGCCTCATCGGCCTGGCCGTAAGTACTCCATGCTCCGATCGCGTTCACGGCGAGTGCAGCAGAAAGTGCGCGTCGTCGTACTTTCCTGCCAGCCATTGAGTCCAGAGCGCGAATTATCCGGAGACATTCACCTCCAACGCATCAAGACCAGCCATGCTGACCACACATATAGGTCATGGGCCAGAACTTGATCCTCAACGCGTAAGTCACAACAAACGTCATAATCTGCCAAACCAGTACTAACATCAACCAGTGCTGACCACGGCTTCACCGTTGTTGCTTTCAACCGAACGTAAGCGCCTCGATACTCCGCGCCGCCAATACACACTGACAGGCAGATAGCGTTGCCAAGGTCGACCGTTTCTTGAACGATGAGGCCAAGGGCAAGTCCATTGTCGGCGCCCACTCCATCAAGGAGTTTGTCTCCAAGCTCAAGAAGCCCCGCCGCATGATGATGCTCGTCATGGCTGGTAAGCCCGTTGACGACTTCATCGAGCTCCTCCTCGAGGGAGGTGCCGAGGAGGGCGACATCATCATCGACGGTGGTAACTCCCACTACCCCGACACCAACCGCCGCACAAACTACCTCAAGTCCAAGGGTATCCGATTCGTCGGAACTGGTGTCTCTGGAGGAGAGGAGGGTGCCCGCTACGGTCCCTCCATCATGCCCGGTGGTAACGAGGAGGCCTGGCCATACATCAAGGTAGGAATGCGCGAGAAGATGTACAGGACAAGACTAACAATAACCAGGACGTCCTCCAGTCCATCTCCGCAAAGTCCGACGGCGAGGCCTGCTGCCAATGGGTTGGTGACGAGGGTGCCGGTCACTACGTCAAGATGGTCCACAACGGTATTGAGTACGGTGACATGCAGTTGATCTGCGAGGTGAGACGAGACGATCATACAGAAAGAAAGAGGCGACTGACAGAAACAGGCCTACGACATCATGAAGCGCGGTCTCGGCATGAGCAACAAGGAGATTGGCGACGTTTTCACACAATGGAACAAGGGCGTTCTCGACTCATTCCTGATCGAGATTACCCGTGACATCATGTACAAGAACGACGACGATGGTGTTGCCATCGTTGAGAAGATCATGGACTCTGCTGGTCAGAAGGGTACCGGAAAGTGGACCGCCATCAACGCGCTCGACCTCGGTATGCCCGTTACCCTGATCGGAGAGGCCGTCTTCGCCCGCTGCCTGAGCTCGCTCAAGCAGGAGCGTGGCCGTGCCGCCGGTCTTTTGGACGGCCCCACCCCCAGCTTCTCTGGCGACCGCCAGGCCTTCATCGACAACCTCGAGCAGGCCCTTTACGCATCCAAGATCATCTCGTACGCGCAGGGATTCATGCTGATCCAGAACGCCGCCAAGGAGTACAAGTGGAAGCTGAACAAGCCCGAGATTGCCCTCATGTGGCGCGGTGGATGCATTATCCGCTCCGTCTTCTTGAAGGAGATCACCAAGGCTTACCGCCAGAACCCCGAGCTCGAGAACTTGCTGTTCGACGACTTCTTCAGCAAGGCTATCCACAAGGCCCAGTCCGGATGGAGAGACACCGTTTCCAAGGGTGCTCTCTGGGGTATCCCCACCCCTGCTTTCAGCACCGCCCTCAGCTTCTACGACGGATACCGCGCCAAGGACCTGCCCGCCAACCTGTTGCAGGCGCAGCGTGACTACTTCGGTGCCCACACCTTCAGGATCAAGCCCGAGTTCGCCAACGAGACCTACAAGGAGGGCCAGGACATCCACGTCAACTGGACCGGAAGGGGTGGTAACATCTCTGCTTCTGTAAGTTTCACGCACGTTGATCATTTGGAAGACACTAACAGCTTGCCAGACCTACAACGCTTAAAAAGGGGATATCCATTACTTGCTAGACGGGAGCAGAGGGCTGCCCCGAGTTCATGTTTTATGAAGAACGTGAAAACTGAGATACCTCGAATCTAGAATGAATATAACGATTCGCATGTCCAATGTTTGCATGTGCCGGTGAATGTATGAAGCTCAGCTTGACCGCTGTGTTGTTACTCCTACGCTAGCTGCACTTAGCGTTGATCGTCGCGTACCTCCAGGTAGACCCTTGACGAGCCACCCCACTATGAATTGAACATTGTTACGAGGTCGCACGCGCATCGGCTTCCCAGCAGTCAGGATACACTCGGGACGGAAGCGTCTCCAAGGCCTACACCATATACCTTCTATAATTGGCCCAGCGGCAAGCGCCCTGCGTAAAGGCTTGGCATCGCGACCACGGAAAGTTGCAGCGCATCACGACAACATCAACCCACCCGCCTCGCGTTCCGCCAGCTCCGCCACGCCAGCGCTGCCCCACGACCCGGTTGCGCGTGCGTCGTCGCGTTTTCATTTCTTTCATTCCTTTGGATTGTATATTCACTGCTTGTATGAGTCTCTGGCGTTAGGTCCTCCGTCGTAGAATCTGGGCAGGGACTAGGTGCTGACGAGACCCAATTGTAGCGGAGCAACACGTTAGCCTCCGCCGCCCGTAATACCCAAGTCGCCTAGACAAAGGCACACAAGAGCAGGACCGTCATGGCGGACAACAAGCGCAATAGCGTTGCGGGCAAGGTTGCGACTCCGAACCTAAAAGCCGGCCCTGGATCGAACAAAGATGTCATTGGCGCGGACTCCGATCTGTACAAGGCTGTTGGGTCACGGTACGTTCCGCTCGTCGAGATGGTATCACCGCTGGGATGGTAGCTGACAGTTCCCAGCATCAAAGTCACATGTGCCCCTGGCAAGAACGTCCTCGAGGGCACCCTCTTCACGGCCTGCAACCTCACACACGCCATAGCCATCAACACCGCGCCCGCTCCACCGAACCCCTCCCCCGCCTCCTTATTCAGCCAGCCCGGCGACTACCACATCATCCCATTCGCACACATTGAGTCCTTCGAGATCATCGGCACAGGAGAGCGCGCACCTGAATCCGCAGCAGGGTTCGATGGCGCACTCCCCAGCATCTCCAAGGTAGATCTGGCCGCGCTACAAGCCCGCGAAGACCAAACCATCCGCGAGATGAAGAAGAAGGATATGCAGAAGGGCAAGGGTGTTAGTGCCGAAGCACAGGAGTTGTTCGATGCTATATCGAGAACGTGAGTCATGACAGAGATGGTAGATGCAAGGTATCAAAACTGACGTATGAATTATAGTCTACCAACTCGGTGGGCAGATACGCAGATCGTCGTCAACGACTCCGTCCTCATCCAGGCCCCGTACACGCTCGACAGCATCAAAGCACCCGCCGACAAGCACCAGGCTAAGGCTCACGTTCGCAAGGTTGTCGAAGCCTTCTACCAGCGTAAGAAAGGCGCTTCTGCGGGAGGAGCGGCTCGCGCTCCGGTCGCTGTGCCCAATGCCCCTCGGAAGGGAGGTTAGAGTCCGGTCACCCCAGGGCTTTGGCGACGGACTACTTGATGTAAGCCTTGTCCGCAGAGCTCCATGTCGCTGGCTGGAAGGTTTCGTCTCGTTAGTGCCGTGAGGTATGAATCACGGAAGGATTATGTAATGATGGTAGCAGTCATGCATTCTATCGGAGGGTGCTCGACGGCAAATATGCTGTAGAGTATGGCAGTATATGGATAGCAAGTACTTCAGAAATTCACAAAATGTTCAAAAGCCACGGCTTTCCGCGCCGTGTGATGTAAGTGCGATAGGTCAACTTGACGTTTGCGACAGAATCTCAACGAACGTACGGACACGGCAATCCGCATAATAACGACTACAGAAGTTTGCAGATGATGGAAGCACACGTCAAAGAGCAGACTGCAGCTGAAAGCTTCTTTCTCATTCTGGTGGCAATTGGAACGCTCTTATACCTCATCACTAGGTTATAACTCCAGTCTTGTTCCGACGCACCCGTTCAACTCGCATGTTTCGCAACGACCAAGATGGACCCCTTGAGCATCGCAACGAATGTGGTAAGTCTAGCAAAACCGGGGCCTATTTGAAGCTGTCATGCTAACCATACTTTTAGCTCCGGATCATTACGACTTTCCTCGGAGCTGCCAAGGATCTCAATGAGATACGGAATAAATGGCAGAACGCGCCCACTACCGTGTTATCCCTCTGTGCCCAGCTCAAACTCAATGGGGCCTTACTTTCGCGGTTGCAGACACTACTTCTGGACGATACAAATCCTGTGCATGCGGAGCCACCCGTGGTCGATGCGCTCGAAACGACTCTGATAAGTTGGCTCGCGCTGGGGTCATGCCTCGGGGAGTACGTGTCGAAGATCATGAAGGGCGTCCAGGGTGATCGCAGCATGAGCTCGAAAGCCAAATTTTGGACTCTGTGGAATGAGGCTGAAGTCAAGGACTTGTTGGAACAACTGCATCAACAGTATTCTGCGATCAACACGTTGATCGGCCCGCTGAATAGGTGAGTGAAGACAAAGTCTTCATATGGCGTACAGCTACAGCCATGAACGCCCGACTGAATTTAGCAGGGATCCTTCGACCGAGAGAAAGAAACTCCTTCAGTAAAAAGAACAAAGCAAGACGATGCCAACAATGAACAAACACACCCAACACATGCGAAAGGCTTATGCCCTCACAGTGGCGGAGTCTACATTCAAAACCGGAAATCCCCCTAGTAGTCTCTTGAGCAATCTCTCAACTCTTGTCGATCCTACTGACGGCACTCCTGAACCACACTTCGAATTTGTCCTCTCAAACTCCAGAGTATACAAAAAAGCTTCCAACGCCACTATGAGCCAGCGGCCGAGATTCAATCTCGACAATGCAAGCATGAGGACTGATCATTCTACAACTGCAACGATTGGCGACCCGGACTTCATCAACGACCCTTCAAACACGGAAGAAGACTCAGCTACTACAAGGCCTATAATCGTTCATATTATTGATCCGGTTGATAGGGCGAAGAGGAATCTCAACGTTGATGGCGTAACGGGTATTTGTACCGAAAGCTATTTCACCCAAGAACCCGGGAAGCTGAGTTACAAGCCCCACGATCGAATAGAAAATTTACGGAAGGTAGATGCGGCGTGGTGGTACGGCACTACTGATCCGTCAGAGAACGTGCCTGAAAACCGTGGGATAATTCTTCGTCGAGACTTTTACCCTGTTTACAGGCTTAACGAGTGGAAATCTGCATACACCGGCAGAAGCATGGGCACCGAAGCTGTCGGCGAATGTTGGTTGCGCTATGAGGAGGGAGATCGAGTGGAATTCAATGTAAGTGACGTGAAACCCTGTACCCGTCACATCGTGCTAACCAATCCAGCGAGTATACCATAACTTCATATGGGTCGTCAGAGTATGTCGGAACTCGGACCATCACGCTGGGTCGAACGACATAGACACACGGTGTCACAATGCGTCAACAGAGGGACAGATGCTAGTCGATACCATAGTGCTGAGTGACGAGATCCGCGAACAGGTCGATACTCTTTTAGCACACTGTGCTTGTCCTCTTACGCGTCTCGTTGGCTTAGAAGGACGTGAACGGTCCAAAGAGATTATAAAGATGGTGAACGAGAATGGCTGGCCCGAATCTGAGCAGAAAATTATAGCGGATTGCAAGAGCTTTAGGGAACTACAAGAAGCGGCAGAGTTATATAGGATGTGTGGATGATGGGGCTGGGACCTACAATGAGTCACGCGTGTGTGCATGGACATAGCAGAAAGGGAGATGATGAATACGCGGCAGGATACGGGTTCAATTCGCAGGGTGAAAAGTACGCGAAGCCCATCACGCTGCCTTGTGCTAATATACAAAACGCCTCAACACATGCCCGTAGTCCCCAACTCAAACCCCCAGCGGCTCCGCCCTCATCAGCGCGAACCTCATCTTCCACAGATTCCCCCTACTCACATGCGTCAGGCGCCCGTCCGCCTTCCACCTCGTGTTGTACGGGATCTGGTAACTGTCCAACACGTCCACAAAGGCACCAGGGAGAGGCCTATACGCACTCGTCCCATCCACCTCCAGATCCAGACGTGGCCCCATGGCCCAACCATAAGACACGTTGGTAGGCCCCCGGCAACCCTCTTCAACGACGCACGTACTGCGCGCCCGCAGCGAGTCTTGCTTGTAGCGGAGACCATTGCCGCCGGCAGACGAGATGACCACGCCGATCATGCAGTCGTCCATCTTCTTGACGATGATGAATGGGTAGACCTTGATGATGATTTGGCCGTACTGCGACGGGATGTGGGTAGCGCGGGCGGTGGCTGCCATGCGCGGGAGTGGCGCCCATCCGATGTCGCCTGCGCTGATGGCGTTGGGGTTGATGCCCTGGACGTTCTGGTAGTCCCGGTATACGACCGGACGGCGCATGTACTCGGGCGAAGGGGAAGGCGAATTGTCAAACCTCCTTCGCTCGCGAGGCGGCGAATCGTCGTCGTCCTCCTCCATCTCATCTTCCTTCACCTCTCCCTCCTCCATCTCTTCCATCTCCTCCATCCCCTCCATCCCCCCCTCCTCCAAACCCTTCCCCAAAACCTCCCCATCCCATCTCGCCAAAAACGCTTCAAATCGCTGCACGCAAAGCAACAACTCACCGGAAATCGTCTCGAGCTCCTTGAGCTCTCCTTCTTGTAGTGCCCGAAGGCGATCTTGATGTGCCTCTATGGCGAGGACTTCTATGGCGATGTCGCGCCCGAGGTTGATGGTGGTGAGGGAGGGCATGGCGGGCCATGCCGGCGACGTTGCCGTGAAGGCGAGGAGTGTGGTGGTGGTGTGGGTGGTCATGGTGACTATGTGGTTAGTTACGGGAAGGGAGGGGAGGGAGTGGGGGGGGATGTAGGCGGTAGGGAGGACCATGAGAGACGGGAATTGAGGTGCTGGGGGGGGGGGGGGTTGT